GCCTACAAAACTGACGAATGTAGTGGACGATCTGTTGCTAACGCAGAACGATACCGCCGAAGAGGTCGTGCAGATGTCCAATTTCACCTCAAACGCCAACGAGAGCGTCACTATTGGTACACCCGATTCCGCGCTTTCTGCGAAGCAAACGACGTCGATCCCGATAGACGAGCAACGAGACAACGAGACGTACGTGAAAGACGAGTTGGCACCAGAAACCTCCAAGCCGAGTGAAACGGACTTCCTCTATGACGAAGAAGAAGGCGACGTGGATTATCCGTATAGCACAGACGTGCCGGACGAAGACGACTCGGGTGAAGGTGAGGAGATCCTAAAGCATGGAGAGGCCGGCATGACGATTCCCACGGTTCGAGATATCGAGCGCCCGGATCGCGATCGTCATCAACGGCAACAGGATCAGATCGCAGAGCTAAAGAAGCTGTTCAATACATTCAATCAGATAGGTCACCATAACGATTCCGCGCCCACGGAGGATTGACGATTCCCACGGTTCGAGATATCGAGCGCCCGGATCGCGATCGTCATCAACGGCAACAGGACCAGATCGCAGAGCTAAAGAAGCTGTTCAATACATTCAATCAGATAGATCACCATAACGATTCCGCGCCCACGGAGGATAAAGATGAGGCGGGCAGCAATGTCTCCAGCGAAGTCAGCATTGACGGTGACTTCATTGTGGAGACGACGCTCTTGGACGTGAACACCGAAAGGCTACAAGTCACCACCAAGTCGCCGGACACGACGGAAAAAGTTAAAGACAGCGAGGACGAATCCAAAAATTTGTTCAGCCCGGAGACTAAGAGTTCCCATGTTATATTCCCTGATGACGTCCACGACGTGGTGACCGTCAGCTCGCACGGACGCGAGCCAACCGAGCAGTTCTCCATGAGGTTCGAGAATGAGAAAGACAAGGAACTGGAAAGTGTACCTTCTTCGTATGATCCGCCGGAGGAAGACCCGATAACTGAAATCCGCACGATCAACGATAAACGATTGAAAGAGAGCATACTGCAAAAAAGTTCGAAAGACTTCGAATCAAGCGTCCCGAGCAGTTCCTTACGGACCACGATGAACTTGGACTCTGCTGAAGATTTCGTGAGATTTCCCGATTACGTGAGGCGGCCGCAGCAAGCCGGTTACGTAAGGTTTCCGGATAGCGGGGAGATAGCCAACAGCATACACAGTTTGAATTACAAGCAGAACTCGCGCTATTCCGCGGGCGACGTTGGCCCTTACGGCGGTACCAGCACCAAGAGCAGCGTCCCCGTCCGCCAGAAACCAGTTTATCATCTGATGGTGTCGAGTTGGAAGTCGGACTTGGATCGCGTCCAGGCGACACCCAACGAGAGGCAGAATCAGACACCAGATTTGATGCATTTCTGGAGTAAGCTTCCGCTAATCAAAGATCCGGCTATCTATCCCGTCGATCAGAACGACGATCAGGAACAATCCTACAGCCGTTCCTTTCGGGCGCGATCGTCACGAAGGTTGAGTCCCTTCACGGAGACGTCGCCGGGGAACAGGGTTTCGACGCAAAAGCGAAAGACACCAATTAGCGTTTAATCTTCCTCACATCGCTTTTCTTGGAAGAAAGGTTTAACGAACTGTGTACGGAACTGTGTCAAGTGACTCGAGAATTCCAAAATTGCGTCAAGGTAGTTTGCGAATTGTCGCCGCGTTTAGATCGCTACTGTACGAGGGACTTTATAGTAGATAAGATCGACAAGAAGGATTGTTTGACAAAAGACAATCTGCGGTAATCTGTTTGAGAAGTTCAAGAGTCGGTGTTGCATGTATCGCGTTTAGTATTTTTTTTTTGCTCAGCGAATGTGTTGCAAATCGTTGGAAACTTCGACGATCTCAAGAGGAGTGATCTGGAATCCAAGTATCTTCCCGGTATTGCCTTCCCTTCGTGTGAGAAGAAAACTGGACTCGCCAAAAGCGGAGGGAGATTTAAAAACGTACTTAGACGTTTGTTTATTATATTTGCGTTACGTCGTGTCGGTGATTAAATTCGCAAAAATCCGAAAAAAGATTTTCAAGGAAAATCTCACAAATGCGTTCTGATATTTTATGCTGTGTAATTAATAGTGATAAGCATCGAACAGAGAAAGTAGCGAGGAAGTAGCAAGTAGCGTGCTGACGCAAAATATTTGCGCAATCGATGACAAATTTTTTCACGTTAACCAGATGCTTTCTATGGAAAGTTCAAACTGCGTCATGCATTTCAAAATAAATCGCTGAGCGTCGGAATCACTTGTAAATTCATCGCGTCTGATGAGAGATATTAAGTTGCAAAAATAAAGCGTCGCTGTTTCAAACATCAAGATTGATGAGGATAGATTTGTTTGAACTGACATTAACTAGGCTAATATTTACGAAAGCTAAAATTTTCTACAAGAATGCGCTAAAATAGAAGAAACACTGCCCGAAGTAATTTTTAAATTTTTTTACGAGTGATTTTTTTACATTTTTTCGATTATAGAAATTAATAAGGATCCGCAGTTTCGTTACATATTTAATTTTATATGTGATACTTAGCTCCTTATATTTTTAACAGTATTATTTTAATAATATAATCGCTTTCTAATAAGTGAAACTGTATTTGTACTGACTGTTTTATTCATAGACATAATAGGTACTTATTACACACATTTACAATTTTATTTAATAATTTATTCAACGTTATTTTAACAATAATCATTTTCTAATCAAATTTTATTTCTAACGGAATTTTATTTGTATTGACTCTACTTTATTCAGATATCATAGGTACTTAGTCTGTTTATAATTTTATTTGATAATTCTATTCAATGTTTTTAACAACACATAATCATATTTTAATGAAATTTTTACTTATACTGACTCTTTTATTTACAGACAATTTCTATTTTATTTATAATAAGTACTTATTCGTTTACAATTTTATTTGACAATTCTATTAAATTTTACTTTAAAAATAATACAATTATCTATTACTTTAATGTGACAAATGAACTTAATGAAAATATGACAGAACAATCGCAGTAAATTTTAAATATATAACGAAAATGCGGGCTAACAAATTCTTGATAAAAAATATATCGCTGATTAGGCTATCGTATGATGAAATAGTTATTAATTCAACCAAGTTTCGTGTGAAACGCCGTTGATAAATCTATATTCTCTGTGCAGCAGAGAGATAGTTATTAGACTTGTCAGTGTTAACACTAATTTCAAGATAAGAACGTATGAATGGCGTATTTGCAAGCTCGCGAGCGATTTGTTGAGCTCATTTACTAACGGAAGTGTTAATGAAGCACAGACTGATCTTTAGAGTTATTATACAGTAGTTGATTTTCGGTCGTACGAAATCTTGGGAATCGTGTTGCTTTCTTCAAAAAAGAAATACAATCGTGCAGCATCAATTTCGTCGTTGTAAGATTTGCAAAGAAGAACGTACAAAACCGTTCCGGTTACACGATCTCTTGCAAATTTTTAAATAACCCGTTTTTATAAACGGCAAGCGTGCGCGGTCGTGTTAGACCACTTTTTGCAGATCAATCACAAATTACACCTACATTAGCCAGCCCACAGCGTAGAATAAGTGTTTTCGGTGTGTGATCCAATCGATCGTTGTTTCACGTCGATATAGCTTCAAAGGTGATTTCTCTCAAAACAACCATTGAAATCAGTCGAAAAGTTTCGATGATCTTCGTTGTATTCGCTTTAACTTTCATCTAGGAAAGATAATTACATTTTGACGGCAACATTGTCTCTGACATCGCTATAATAAACGCTCCGGCTACATGTGACATATAGTAAGCAAGAATATTTAAAGCTTTTATTTATTTGAGTTGTGTCTGTGTGTGTGTGTGTGTGTGCGTGTGTGTGTGTGTGTGCGTGCGTGCGTGCGTGCGTGTGTGTGTATTAGTAATATAACAAATCGATATAAAATATTTTCAATAAGTTCTATTAATGTAAATTGCAAAAGTCTTCATAAGTTAATTTTTATTAGGCTAAAACATACAGAAAATTATTTTCACTTTATTAGGCAAATAATTTAGAACAATTTAAAATTAAATGCTGTTAAATTTTGTCATTTTATAATACTCTCCTGAAATATTATTTTCTATAGCTTTCTTTTAAAGTGAAAGAATTTAAAAAACAAAAGAAATCATTGTATCATTGATAAATATAATATTAAGCAGTACTCCATTCAAGTAATATTTAAATTATTAAATCTTATTAATATTCGTATAAATTAAAATTTTTTTAGTAATTTTCTTCCTGATTTTTATCTGTTGCGTACAATGTTACTAAGAAGCCGCGGCTTTTATTGTAGCAGATGTTATCGAGTCATCACTCAAAGCATCGAGACATTTCGAATCAGCTTTCTTGCGCGTGTTTCCTTCTACGAACTCGATAATTAAGCCGAAAGATTTTACGATACTTGACATTGTGTGGCTAGTAAATCTACTGATCTACATACGTTTCAATGTGGTGTGTAATTTCTCCCGTACTATTAAATGTCGATTCGTGTACATATTAATTATATCATTGAGGAATGTATATATGCATAGAGGCATAATGTAGGCATAATATAAATAAATAAGCGTTAACAGCAGCACAGTCCCGATTGCGTATTAATCGTGTACTAAATCTTCTTGTATTATTTATAGCGAAATATATCGATGTATATTGCATTTGTCGTGTTGTGCGAGGCCGCCTGTTAGATAACGGAGTAAAGGAGTTATAAAAAAGAATCGCATACGACGCCCGTATGATATAAAATGATCGTGCTCTTTTATTTGTACAACCTGCCCAACACATACCTTTTAAATATCTTACAATTGAAATATTAAATCCGTTCGCGTTGCTTACAAAAATATTTAATTTCACGACAATATATGATATTATTGCGTATAAATATACATTTTTATCCATAAACCATTTTATATAATAATAAAATTAATTTTGTTTACTCATTAACTCTCGTTTTAAGTGCAAAAATTTGGGAGATTTCAACGCAAACAAATCTATTGTACCTATGAACTAATCAATTACATCAGCTCGTCTTGAGACCTTTAAACCCCCTAGCCAAGAAGAATGTCTCAGTGGATTCGTCTCTCGTCGCATTAGGCCTAATTGCTCTGACGTTATTGTAAAACTTTAACAGATTCTGTTCAAACTGTTGCGTCTTACCACCGTCCCAGATTTTTACAACAAACATGCTTTGTGCCTTACTGATTTGTAACGCGAATCTCAGGGCAGCGTAAGCGAGTAACATTATATTATCATGGTCTATCTCTCTTACGCCGGACGCATTTGGAGCCATGTCGGACAAGACCACATCAACTTTGTCCCCTTGCAATAATTTGCTTAGAGTCTCCTGCGTTTTGGCGTTCGTGAAATCCATGTTTCCCAAGACGGTCGCACCTTCCACGGGATAAAATGGGAGTTTGTCGACAGCGTACACTCTGCCGACAGGACCTTCCTTCTTGCCACCAGCGTTGGTCAGATTGGTGGCGACCTGAGTCCAGCTGCCAGGTGCTGCCCCGCAGTCCACGATGGTCTGACCTGGGCTGAGGATCTTGAATCTCTCATTGATCTCCAGCAGCTTGAATGCGCTTCTGCACCTGTACTTCTCCTGCTTTGCCTTCTCCACGTAGGGATCGCGTAGCTGCCTCTCCAGCCACAGCTGCGAGCTGTGCTTCTTGCCCTTCAGGTTTCGTGGGGTTTCCTTCAGAAGCGCGCGGCCGGTGTGCACGCTTCTCGTCAGCGAAACGTTCCTGCAGAGAGAATTCATCCCGCATGTAATGCAAATGTGATCTAACCTGTGGCCAAGCGCGCGTCGCAAGCACTCAGCGCAAACGTTTCATTCAAGACTTCTGGTGAATTAATATTTATCTGTCAGCAGATTAGCCTCATACACTCCCAGAGAATTGTTAGTATGTACAAGTTGCGTTATTAAATGGAGAATAAACGCGTGTAAAGGCAAACTGTCGACATCGCAAAATTAAAATCCTGGACGCGGCCATGTTGCCTGATCGCCATTAATCCATTTTGATTGTTGATCAGCTGATTATCATCTGTCGGTGTGGTGGATTTCTGCCAGCAACTCGGCGAAGATTAATTAGGGTTTTCTCTCTGATTCTATGATATTACATATATAATAAAAATATTATTCTCAGAACTTTTCATATAATTTTTTAGAAAGTTTCTTAGATTTTTTTATACAAATTGGAATACTTTTCGGACGAGAAAGTCGAGAAAGTCTACACATCTTTTCTAGAATTCTTCATATATTTAGATTTAATAAAAATAGAATTGATGTTATCCGCTTGGAATATTACGATTGTTTTCAAGACACCTATTTTTCTACAATTATTACTCGCAGATAAACCCGGAATGATAACAATAAAAATGCAGCTTTAAATAAAAATCAAACGTTTGAGTCATAAAAATATTAGTTTATGAAATATTATTATCAGGACAATAACAAATCAATAAATTAAGATAAAAATAATATTATTGAAAAAAAATAATATTAAATAATAATGAATAAAAAAACAAAATTAATATTTTAATCGTCTAATTTTTAATACCATAAGATTATCATCAGTCTTCAATAATTCCTTGTTAGTGCCTGAAGTAATATAACTTTTTGTAATAAAAGTATATATAATATGTATGCATTGTGTGATATTAAATAACACGCATATATGAGGGAAACGCTCGACGTACCCACGCACACACACACACACACACACACATACGCGACACATGCTCGTGTGTATAACCTCTCTCACGAGTGAGAGAAAGAGAAAGAGAATAAAAAGCAAAACATGCGAAAATTGTTCTGGATCTTAGGCCCATCGCACATGAAATGCATAAAAGGGTATAAGACTTTATGCTGAATGTTCATTGGTCTCTAATGGTCTTACCAAGTCCTATATTGACCAATCACAACTATTCCTTTCTTCAATTGATGCGTTCGGGCAGACGCTATTAACGCTGTTTCTGTCATTTTATCTTCGTCGTTTATTAGATGTAAAACAAGAAAAGAATGACAAGAAATAGCGTTAATAGCGTTAATAGCGTCTCCCCGAACGCACCATAAGTATGTTAAAATATCGGTGTAAAATAAAAGCCAATGAGCAGTGTGCTTCAGAATATACTCAGTACCTAGCGTAAATTGACCAATCATGTCAAGCAATAGGGCGACTTGTTAGAAACGACGAATGAAATACAACAGTTATAAAATAACTGTTATTAAAGAAAATTGGTAACTAGTTACAACGTTACCTTTCGATAACAGTTACAAAGTAACAGTTACGAAAATACCGCTCATCACTAGTCGTGTCGGCGAACCGGCCAACCGGCGATGTTACCGAGGAGCCGTGGAGCGAGCTATACACACGTTTGAGGTTCCGGATGTTTTCGTTGACGGAGTGATCCACGATGAACCTCACCGCGGGCAATGCGCACGGCAACGGCCTGCTCTACGCCGGCTTCAATCAGGACCAAGGTACGTCCCGTGCGGCTGTGCCTAACAGCGCGTGTCGATAGCGGAACATCCGTGGCCGCGTACCTGTCAGATTTGCCTTGCTTCCGCGTTCTAACCTAGCCTAGTTTTGCCGCCCGCGCGTCCACGCAGTGTTCGTCAATGTTCGTCTCCACGGTGATCCGCGCTGATCCGCGCGATACCACATCTCATCCGAGCTGCACTCGGCGTTCTCAATTTCGTGCTGCCGCAATCCGGAGCGTCAGAGGACCAATTTCGCCGATCGATCGACCGCGAACCTCTTCGCCGAGGAACGTCGGTGACCTTTTGACGTCCGCGCGATTTGGAGCAGATTAACGATTTATTCGGATTTACTTCTGTACGGTCAGATCCCGTTGGTGAATGATTTTCCCATATTCTTGTAAAAGTGTGCAATGAAAGAATAAAACAATTTGGCACGTTTATTGGCATCTTTCTCTCGTTTCCTTCCGTCCCATCTCGAAGTGATACCGTTGTACGTAATGCAACTCCGACGATTGCACGCTTGAAGTAAGTTCGCGCGATATCGCGTTTCCATGTATGAGTTTATCAGGTCGAGTCATCTTCTGCACTCGTGTCGACGTGTATGTATCGTAAATACACACGATAGTCGATTAATATTGCTAAGGAAAGAAAAATGTATGTATAACAGATAAAACTGTATCGCTATTGCTCACGCATTTGCAGGATGCTTCGCCTGTGGCATGGAGAACGGATTCCGAGTGTACAACTGTGATCCACTTAAGGAGAAAGAGAGGCATGACTTTAGCGATGGAGGCCTTGGATATGTAGAGATGCTTTTCAGATGTAATTATCTGGCGTTGGTTGGAGGTGGAGTCAAGCCAATGTACCCGACAAACAAAGGTTTATTTACTTTCTATATATTTGGTATATCATTAGGTCTGTTCTTTGTAGTTGAACTAGTATACATTTGTTGTACTTAAAATAAAATATATGTTGTTTTCCAGCAAGAAGCATAGACTGTTTCACTTGCCAAACTCTTCGAGTCATTCTTGTTATTTATCAAGTTAAACAAGGATAATACTGGCGAGAGCATTAAGTGGAATGAACCCATAGTGTAACACAGGGATCGTTTTATCTTTGTTTAACATTGGCGAATAACATGGATGCAATAATTCACTGTGTGTTATAATGTGTTATCTATTGCTGGAAAGTACCCATATATAATTGAAGTTTGATGAAAGCAAAAAAGAAAGTTTTAGCAGTCCAGCGATAAAGAACAGGTTTATTATCATAGATACAGACTATTTACACTTTATGATTGCAGTCATGATATGGGACGATATAAAGAAATTGCCAGCAATTACCTTAGAATTTAACGCACCTGTGAAAGGGGTGAAATTACGAAGAGACAGGATAGTAGTAGTGTTAGAGGGTGTTATAAAGGTTTATACGTTTACACAAAATCCTCAACAGTTACACGTATTTGAGACTAATCCTAATCCGCGAGGGTTGTGCGTTCTGTGCCCGAATAGCAACAACTCCTTACTCGCCTTCCCTGGACGAAAGAACGGTCACGTTCAAGGTAAGAGTTCAATAAAAAATTGATATCTCGATTTTCTACATCAAATATATTATTTTCTACATCAAATATATTATTTTCTACATCAAATATATTCTTTTCTACATCAAATATATTATTTAATACCAACGGCTTGTGTATTTCAGTTATAGATCTGGCTAATACAGAGAAGCAACCCTTAAATATAGAAGCACATGAAACGCCTTTATCTTGCATAGCTTTAAATCTGCAGGGCACCAGATTGGCCACTGCCTCGGAGAAGGGTACTTTGATAAGAGTATTTGATACGCAAAACGGTAACATGATTAACGAATTAAGGAGAGGAGCGAATCACGCAAATATCTATTGGTAAGTGTAGTAAAAGGAGATGTGACAAAACACGTGACATGAAATATTAATTTTTATACATTTAATTCCAGCATAAACTTCAATCATGACTCTACGTGGCTGTGCGTGGCCAGTGATCACGGTACCGTGCACGTATTTGCCGTCGAAGATCAAAAACTGAATCGCCAATCTAGTTTAGCGTCCGCCACGTTCCTGCCAAAGTACTTCAGCTCGAGTTGGAGTTTCTGCAAATTTCAAGTGCCGAGCGGTCCTCAATGCATGTGTGCGTTTGGCCAAGATAACAATAGTATCATAGGTGAGCGATGTTTGTAAATTATGTATATCTGTTTTTATCAGTATAGATTAACTTTAACCTCGGTTTAATTTACTCGTTATCTTTTCCAATAGGCTGGCGCAGTAGTCAGTTCTTATTTTTAAAATTGTCTTGAATATCTTAAGATATTATAGTCTTAGGATATTATAAATCATTTACAGAGCCGTATTAGCGTCCTAAAACATTGTTTAATCTTGTACAATAAGAATAGACTATAAATACTGGTCTCAGAACTAGAAAAGGATGTAAGTTAAACTGATAATGAAATTAAAGTTAATTTATATTGATAAAATTACAAGATTTTTAACCGAAAGCCATTACATATTTCGAACAATCTCTCACGTTTACAATCTTTTATGCAGTGATATGCGCAGATGGTAGTTATTACAAGTTCGTGTTCAACAACAAGGGTGAGTGCACGAGAGACTTTTATGCTCAGTTTCTCGAGTTAACCGACGACAAAGCGTGATTGGAGGATACATACCGGCGGTGAATTTCTAACCGCGCGACGAGGAACTTGACTTTCGTGTTCCTTCGATATTTTCACTCATATTTCGGCCGAGTAAAAGAATTCAATGGCTCACAGGTACATCGCAGGTACATGGAGATTGTAACACTCGAGCTGTTTATATAGGGGCAATAAAGTTCGTATCTAACGTTACGATAGAGGACCAAATGAAGAGTTCTATTGACTGTTGGTGATATCGTTCGTTGGTGTATTGTGCGCAGATTTTTGAAAACAAAAAGAAAACGATAATTGACAAATTGAACAGACAAAACTATCTTAACAGAGATTATGTCATAAACTTGTTACACGAGCCTATTCGCTGACGCCTATTAATAGAGAGACGAGAGCAAATTTTTAAATATAACAAACAGAAGGAATACTTTCCCAGGTGATAACGGGAGACTTCGCAAGTTACTTGTTGGCGTGATACTCACGTTTTCTTACATTTTAGATAAGAATGTTGCTGCAGCTAACTAAAGTGAACATTGGCCATAAAGCCTAATCTACAATGTATTCTTTGCTTCCTGTTTCTTACTTTTTCTCTCTGCCGTTTCATCGACAATCGCGGCGTTTCTTGTCACGTGTTTCTTGTCTCTTCCGAAGTTCGTCAACCTTTATCTTGGATGACGGAAAACGAAGAAATAAAATAACAGACAAAAAGATAAGAGGTAAAAAGCAATAAAAACTTAGAAACAGCACGGGAAAAAAATAATTATGGACGTAAAAGGTTTGTAAAATTTAATTGTCCAATTTGTTTGCTATTTATAGCAAATACAAAATAGAATAAATATATTTGTTCGAATAAGAATAAGTATACTTGCAAATAATTTGCGATCCCTGTATAATGGAATTTATAGTATAGGATTAGCGGTCATAGCAAATATTTTCTTTCCATGAAGAAGCAAAGAGCACATTGTAGATTAGACTTAAAACATGTTTGTGACAAAAAGCAAATAATCATTTGCCGTAGCTTCGCGGTAAGCGCTTTGCAATGCAATTATATATCCTTATTGATCATGTGTTTCGTAGCCCAGCAAATCTTTTCATTATATATAAATGCATTATATATAAAAGTGATATACATCCTCTTCGACGATTTTGAAACGATATTTAAATAGATCGTTGTTATAATCGCATCCATTTTTGGCGATTCGTTGAACACGACTTTTGTTTCGTAACCAAATCATATCATAGATACATCATATACATATACATCTACTGAAGTATTATAATTTTTATTTTTATGTTCTCATACATTTAATATAAATAGATTGTTGTTATAATCGCATCCGTTTTTGGCGATTCGTTGAACACGACATTGTTTCATAGCCGAATCATATCATATACACGTCGTATACATATACATCTGAAGTATTGTAATTTTTACTTTGTTTTTTTCCATACATTTAATATACATATATGCAAGAGAGATTCTACACTTTATATCACACGGATATTGCCGCAGATTATGAGGTTGTAATTTCACAAACAAATTGGGTTTAAATATAAAATAAAATTGATTATTCCACGATTCAGAGTCCTGCACTACTATTTCTCTAAATAAATTAATCTATATATAGCGTTTTCGATGTCACTCTATCGAGCGCAGATCCCCCGAGAAGACCTTGCTCGTTTATGCTAAAAAATTAAATTCAGTCTTGCGCTTGAAAGAAAGTGCGCATTTGTTCACAGCACAAAGAGAGATATTACTTTTGGAATTGTGATATTTTTATCCATTAGAATCTCGACAGATGGAAAGCCAAAATGTATGTCACACGTAAAGAGTATGGTGCATAGAAAGAACGATTTTACTGGAGTATTAAAAAATTTAATTAAATATAAATCTGAAAATAATTTTGTTTGGCCATCAAGATATGTATAGAACACTCAAGTATAAGCAATTGTAATAAGTTTTGACATTTAAACAAGCAGCTGGGGTGTCTCACAATTATTTTGGTGATGTAACAAAATTATTTTTAAATCTGTATTTAACAATAAATATTTAAATACTTTAGCAAAACAGTTTTCTTCGTAATAAATAAATACTAGCATCTGTGCGTCGCATTAAAGAACCATCTTAACGCACGAACGTAAAGAAGTATGCAACTGTAACAAGGAAAAACAAGGAGAAACATTCAAATATGAGAAACGCGTTCTTTGCAGATCTTCTTGAGCTTTACTTTCTTTATCCCATACGTGCGATACACGTTTTTATTACCTTTCGTCAGTTTGCAATCAATTATTTCACTTTCGAGATGTACTTTATTTCACGATTTTGTAATTACCTCTAACTTGCCATCCCGATTTCCAAACTTGTCCAAAAGTACATGATTTTTCAAAATGTATCTACGTCATTGAGATCTTATCGCGATTGAATCTTGTGGTTTTACGGAGTAAATTACGAGGTTTCCTCATCTTCGTAATTTACCCCGTAAAACCGCACATTGACAAAGAAATTCTCCATTGCTATTTCATAATATTTTTAAATTTCGTAAGGCTTGTTCACCGAAATCTGGACCGCTTTTGGTACCTCCAGCGGTACGGGTACTGCGTACTTTTTTTTCATAATGTGTACTTCGTGCGTAAGTCCCTTCTTTGTCTCGAGGCTCTTATAAGTACTGTACACCACGAACCAGACATAAAAGCTTGCGATTATCAGGAAAAAGACGATTAAGCCTGAAAATATCACATCGTCCTTTAATAAAAACACGATAAACATTTTATAAATAAAATTAATGTAAGATTTTTCAGCAAGCGAAATAACATATATATCATTCTACCGTTCTCGTTTCATATATTTTACGTAGTGTTTTTATAACAGCGACGTAATAAGAGCTCAGTACTGCACGAATTTCTTTAGTTAAATTTTTTTAAGATAGAAGAGATATAAAATTTAACCAAAGAAATTTGTGAAGTACGGAACACAAATTTTCGATTTTATATAACTTTAAAAACACAAATAAGCGAGAAAGATCTATTCAGTTAGAGCGGAACTTCGTGCTTAATAATATTTTTGCGTGAATTTTACAATTTTCAGGTCAACAAAAAAATTTAAATTTTAACTTACGTTGACAAATATCAGCTTTACCACCTAGACTAGCAAGGAAAGGACAATCCTCCTCTACCAGGAATAATGAGATCGCTAAAGCTGCTATAATAGTGATCTTGACTATCATCCATGGCGTCATAAAATGACGATTGCTCTAAAAATAGAATGTATATTGTAGAAAAAAAAAGTACTTTGTCCAAGCAGAACAAATCACAATAACGTCAAAATGACATTAAAATGAATCAGAAATGATTGAAAAATAACTTTTAATGATCATTTTGGAATTATTTTGACATCATTTTGATATCATAATGACTTGTCGTTCTGTTTGGGCGAACTTCAATTATTCTTTCAAATGATTTCGATTACCGTCAAAGCCCCATAGAGAAGTAACACGCTAGAGATGAAGTGGACAACTGTGATGACGAGGCCACAATACATCGCGTATTCCAATTCTGCAAATACATAAAATTGCTGTAACAAGAGGAACAATGATTGTTTTGTCGTATTTTTTTTTCGTGCGTGATTTTTGTGCGTCGCGTGAATGCAAGTATTAATAACCGGTTGCGGTGTGATGCGCCAGTTCCAACTTTTCTTTGTTGAGATGGAATGATGATATCTCCTCCAAGGCCTCCCTTTCGAGTGCATCTTCGGTATCTCTCGCCAACATTTCTTGAATCCCCAATGCGTGCGTCACACCCAGAATGAAGAATATCATACCCAACCCGGAAGTTAACTGCGTATGAACATTTATCAAAATTATGCTCAGCGAATTAGATCAATTGTTCGAGACAGAAGTTTTATAGAGGTTGTTATTACCATTTGGAATATGGCGATTACTATTGTACCCTGCCTCAGGTTGAAGTAGTGCATAAAGTGCTTCAACAGTCCGATCTTCATCTTGGCTTCTAAAACTACACTAACACTTCAAATAGTCCTGAAAGTTTATTATTAATTATTTTTTACATAATTCATAAATATCTATAGCATTACGTACATTATATTTTAATAAATTATTCAGATTTCTTCAAAATAAATTATTCAACTTTTCAAAATACGTTTCACTATTACATATAAAGTAAAAACTCTATAACAGAGTCTGGCCACGAGATGACAAACTTTTAATCGGATTTTCATCAATTTCAGTACGTCAGTATAACTTTGTTAAGCCGGAATCAGACTACGCATTGAAGATTGAGATTGAAGATTGAAAGATTGAAATTTGACCAATCAAAATAAAAGGAGTTAAAATTTCTTTGTTCTCATTGGTCAAATTTCAATTTTCGACCTTCAATCTCAATCTTCAATACGTAGTCTAATTCCGGTCTTACAGTCTCTAATATAAAGTAGATTGTACTAATCGTGAACTATACCATAACAATCCATGTAGGACAGACCTCTAATAAACGCCCCAAAGACTTTCAGAAGACATTCTTACATTCTAAAGACGTTCTAGAAACGTTCAAAAGACGTCTCTACATCTTAAGGACGATCTCAGAACGTCCTTTGGATAAATTGTACTATGTGGGAAACGTGGAGACCATTTATAAATAAAAAGAAACAGCGAGTATAACAACAACAATACATCAAGATCATATCCCGTGCCCATCTTTTATCGATTAACAATCCATGAGGGTTGCAACCCCTTGGCAACCCCCCGTGTAAATGCGTTGAGACGCACCTTAAAACAATCGAAATCACAGCGATGAAAGTAGGTGAAACGCAAGTCATCGCTTACCTTGGCGACCAGGTGTTCTCCGAGTATGCTCGTCGAATTACCACGGTTCGTTCGCAATGAGAATCAATAACTCTCGTCTTGCGCACACCCCGCGATAATGGGACGCTGCATGATAGCTTTAATTGCGGGTTATCATCGGTGAATCCTCCTGCCCCTCGTCGCGATATGGTATTTCAGTGCAAACTACTCTAATGGAAAAAGTAGCGGGTCCCGGGATCGATCTCGTCGTTATGCGCACAATGCGAAAGGTTGGTTCTTCGAGGTGGATCGAAGGCAATGACGGCAATGACGGCATCCCGACAGTAGACTGAGTAGACCGCACGACGGACGAGTGTCGCGCACGCGCCGTTATCGCATCCCTTGGATGCTCTGCCGCAGATTGATCATTGTTTATTTACACGCGTCTCGTTGGCGTTAATTAATCGCACGATTTGTCAGATTATGATTCTTTAAAAATCAAACCTGCGCTGTTTTAATTAAGCCTGATTTAGCACGAAGCTTCGACGTGTGATAAGAATTGATTTATTTTTTATTTCTTTTCTTCGAGGGATGGTTAATTGAATGTGAGGGCGTTTAATTGAAGGATTAATTACTGTAAAAAGAGCGATTTTTTTAAGAAAATTGTTTTAATCTCATTTTAGTTTAATTGATTCTATTTTCAGAAATAAAATTGAAAAGATAGAATAAGTTGAATTACGATAAAATAATCAGGATCTTCATTTAATTTAATATTTCAGATACGTAAATTTGGGAATTTCAGAAATTTAGAAATTATCTAAAAAATATATTAGAATATATCAAAGAAATTCAAGCAAGAAAATTCTGAATTTTGAAGTTTAAAATATTTGGATCTAAGAGTCTGGATCGATTCTGTATTTTGAAACGAGGTGAAAATTACAAAATGAGCAAATTTACTTGGCGTTGACCAATAAAATTATAACTATTCTAGTAAATTCATTCACTTTTGTAATTTTCACTTTATTTCAAGATAAAGAATCGACCCCCTAGATATATAATTTTTGAATTCAGAATCCCAATTTACTTCTCCGGTGAGTTTTACTTTGATTGACGATTTAAGGGTAATAAATTTGATCTTTTAGATTGTTCTCAATTTTTCATATTATTTCACAGTTGATTGAAATTTCAACATTTAGTCTACCAACTGTTTGGGAACAATTTTTGTCTATCGACGTACAATCCATCGGAGATCGTTAACTTAAATATTCATATCATGGTTTTTCTATTCACTCGTTTGCTGCGTTTTACGACTACATATTTTGTAAATCTGAAGATGACTCGATCAAGAAGCCGAAACACGTAATTGTTAGACAATCGAGACATTATACCACCGAGATATTGTAAGAATTTATATCGAATAATTATATTATATGTCTTTATTTTACTTTTAAGTTTTACTAATTATTGACTCTTATATGCCCTTTACTTAATTTTTACTTTATTTGATAACAAGAGTCTTTATACATATTTGTTATTATTTCAAAAGTTCAAGTGTCTATAAAAACACAGCAAATAATTTAGTTATATTCCAATTTCTTTCGAATTTCAAAATCTATAAATCACGAATTCGAGTAAATTTTAATTAAGTATGAATGGGTTTGCGAACAGCTGCAGAAATTACCCACTCGTGGATAATGGCTTGCGATTCGAATTCCAATTTAAAAGTTAGTTCGATCAAGTTGAGTCATCTTTTCAAGTAGTCATAGAAACGCGACGCGCGTCCCAGAATGGTAGATTACAAGGCCAAGGGGGATGAATGCGTGATTGTCGCTTTGGCGAGCCGCAACTGCCGCAAGGATCGCAGGGTCGTGACAGTTCGTGACAGTTGTGCAATTAGCGTGATTTCGCGCGCGCTCTCGAGGATTCGCAATTCGCAATTTCGAAACCGAAATGGAGCGAAAATATCAGAGGGTCGGTTTGGGGGTGGGCGCATTTCACAATCCCCCAAGGGCGAAATATAGCGAGGAAACAAAGAATCTCATTAAGCGTAAGTAAACGGTAACCAATGTTCAACGCGTGATTTACTTTATGTCAAAATTTCAACTGGTTTTTTTTTTATTACAATTCGGTCACGTATTCTTAATGTCTGGCAAATGTTAAATGTTAGTGTTAATGGAGGAATCCAAGTTATCAATGATGCAAAGGAAAATGATCCAGGAGGCGGTAGACAAAGGCGAGTCCTTACCGCCTTCTATCGACAGAACGAAGAAAGCGAAAGATAAGGTCGAAAATTATCAAGTAAATATCGCAATATAAAAAATGTTCTAGAAAATAATTTCAAGATAATATTCTGTAGCATTTTCTGTTAGATTAAATTTCCAAATGCTTGGAGGAGGCGTTCACAGGATACGATTATAAGCAGCGGTGCTTACGAGAGAGAACAATACAGGAGGACAGCGCCCTTACGTAATAATTAGAAATAATACTTTCTTCAAGATAGTAATCGAATATAAAAATAAACGCACATTGAATGACATGAATTTTACGCAATTAGCCAACAAGGAGAAACAAAAGCGTCACTTGGCATGTATGATGGCTTTTGGAAAGGACATGCCGGAGACTCCTCACGGTCCTAAGATTCTTCACAGGGCTAAACGGGAGCCAGAAATACCTGAGAACACGGATTTTCTGAACGACTGTAAGTTACCAACAGTCTATTTTACACTCAGAAGAGAAGACATATTATAGTGGTAGCGATTATAAAAATTAAAAATGACAATTATACAAGTTTTATATGTAGAATTAATGTACTCTCTTAAATAAGCTATTTCATAATTACTGACTAAGAAAACAAACAGTGTATATTCTATCTCTCTTTTATTTCAAAAGCAACACAGCTAAAAAAATTAAATTTCTCAAAAAAGGAAAAATTATTTTCAACTTGACAGAAAATTATTAATTAACCTCTTCAAACATTTGTAATGCACATTAAATTTGAAGATATTATTTGTTGAAATTATTTAATTTTGTCAATATTATCTGAGATGTGATGTGCATAATAATATATTTATAAGGCATTGATTTCTATAGTTTGTAATAATATATTTATTGAAAAAATAGTTAAAATAAAAAAAAATTGATTTTAAATTACCCTTTTTGAGTTAAGGCGATTTTTTAAATTATCCTTTTGAAATTGCAGCAATTTTGACAATGTTTTATAAAGTTAATTCATTTTTTATAATTGATAATATTACCTAATTCTCTCTCATTCATAGTGATAATTCGAAAATCACATTTTTTAAGTTGTGTCACTTGTGAAGTAAAAGAGTAATATAAAATTCGTATACCTAGTTGCCATCTTTATAGTTGTAAGGTAAAATATGAAATTTTAAGAAAGTTATTGGAAACATTATTTTGAAATTATCATTATTTATGACAATCGTGTAAGCAGCAGAGCTTTCTAAGTTTAAAATAGATTTTTGTAATGCGCCTTTTCGAAAACTGATGATGTTATGAGTGTTATGACGATAAATTGCGTCCTTCTGTTTCTCAAGTGGCGCATGGGATTCGCGAAAGGATGGATTTCTTGCACGATATGGAGAGTCTCGGAATGGGGAAGAAGTATCGACCTATAATACAGCAGGAGATAGCGCAGAAAATACGGCTAATGGAGTCGCTGGACAATCAAACGTCCGATCAGCTACGAAAAGAATTTTATGAAGTTAAGGACGAAAGACCGTCGTCAAAATTGTTTCCGTTGACTGAACCGGGACAGAATTGATTCTTTCATTGATATATTCTACATGTAAGCGTTATAGCAAGATGCGATTATATGACATAGATCGGATTTTACGTGTGTCAAATATAATATTATTAATCAGATATTTTTTATTGTATTTCAATCGTCTGACAAGCGACAAATGAATTTTATAGAAAAAACGTAATGCCAAGATAATGCCAAGTATTATAATCGTAATGATTCAATTGTCTGAAATGTAAGCAGATAAATTATTTGTAAGATTATATTCTCATAATATTATTTTGCAAAGTTATCTTCATATATAGATTTTTTTTAAAAAGATAGATGTCAACTTCGTCAAAAGATTCATTTTTCTTTCTTTTCTCTAACCTTTTTATTTTTACCATATATTTTATATCTTATTTTTTATATTTTATTTTTTCATGTATTATTATATTTTTATATATTTTATATGTATTGTTGTCATTCTCTTGTTTCTTATTCCAAAAAATATTCTTTGCGTTATTGTTACTTATACATTAATAAATTTATTAATCTTCTTGATGGTATCAGTAGTTTTTATAATTTTTGAAAATCTTCCAATATCGAAATAAAAATATAATCGTTTATATATCTACCGATCAATTTGCTTTTCATTTCTTCTAATTTTTAAAAAAAGATCAAGAGTTAATTAAACCAAGATTATAAAGTTAAATTACGGTGGAAAAAGGTATTAGAACATCTTTTAAATTCGAAATAAAAACAAACGCATTTATCAAACTGTCGTTAAAACGTAATACCTTCGTTAATTTAAAAAATATCTTTTAAGAAAACAAAAGAAAAGAAAGAAAGATATTTAATACATTTAAAATTTCTAGCTCTAGTATGCAAAGCAATAATAAAAAGAAGAAAGGTCAAATAAGAGCAAATAATCAGATCACAATTGAAAACTAATTTATTACAAGTTTTAACGTTGTCATTAATTTTGACAATATATAAACTGAGAGAGGGAACATTTCGACTCTAATTATTATTATCCCTATATAAAAAATAATGATAAAATTAATGGTGAGTTTTATCTTAATTAGGTCTTTTAAGAAACTATTAGATATAATGCCACATAACAAGTTGCACATAAGAAATTACAATTAAAGAAATTTAAATTAAACTGTATGCTGAGATGCATATACATATGTATCTCTTCTCTGGCGATTCCAAAGCAGAAAACATAAACATGCATGCTCCGTTCCGCTAAAAACGATTTTGTGCTAAAGTATTAAAAAATTTAACTAGATACACACATATTTAAAAATAAGTCTTGTTAAACAAAATCAAAATACTATATAGGGCACTCAAGCTGGTTACTAGAATATCAAAACTTTTGCAGCATTGCTCATCATTCTCATCAAGCTTGAGTATTTTACATAATTGTATGTACATCTATCAATCGCCGATTAAATGCCTTTGATATAATATATAAAAAGAACAGATTTCTAGATACTACACTGAGAAAAATAGTCTGATTGGATTAAATAGTAATTCTGGTAAAAAATGGACGAACTAGAATTTTCTAGTTAAATCTACTAATAGAATTCTAGTTGAGATAGCTAGAATTCC